ATCTTTCTTTCATCTGTCAGAAACTGATTGAAATGCAGTGTGTCATTTCTGAAGATATTATCCTAAGAATCTGGTGCCCTGGCCCTCACTTTGGAAGAAGGATATTAGGTTATATTAGGAGTTTTCTGTTTGTTCTGCTTTTTGTTTGTTTTTTTTTGGGGGGGGGGGTTGGTATCTGTTTAGTTATATTCATCTGGGGAACTGATACATGTATACAGCGTGTCTTGATCATTTTTTATCCCTTTTCCAGAGATACAAGGTTTCCCTATATAGTCCAAGCTGGCCTTGAACTCACTATGTAGTCCAGGCTGATATGAAACTCTTAAGTTATCCTCCAGCCTCTGCTTCCGAGTGCTAAAATATAGGTATGCACTGCCGTGTCCTAGGTTATATTTGTTTAACCAACATTTGCTGAGGACATTCTGTGTTCTCTCAAGCATAGTGCTAGATGCCAGCAATGCAGAGGTTGAGATGCTTAGGACCCACATTGCTAAAAACAGTAGAAACCAACACAGCATCGTAGTATAGCTTGATGTTTGCCTAGCAGTGGTAACTCAGTAAAAGTCTAGCAAGTGAATAAATTATTTCATAGCGAAGGTAGTACTTGAGCTGCAAGTTGAGCAATCACTGAGAGTTTGTTGGTCAACAACAAAAAGATAAGAAACTTATTTTGTCCAGAGGGAACAGTTCTCAAAAGCACAGACTTGTATTTAGATTGACATTTTTTTACAGGAAAAGATGAATGTGCTTCTGAAATATTTTACTAAAAACCTCATGATTTCTAAAATTCTGATGTTTTTAAAGAGTGTAAGAATCACATGTACTTGACTTCCCCTGATAGAGAGCAATGAAAGCTACCTACTTAAAGGTTGATAGAAAAACAGTATAACAAGCATTCCTCTTTAGGTTTTAATTTGTGTGTGTGTGTGTGTGTGTGTGTGTGTACTGTTGTTACTCTGCCACTTGTATATATGCCTCTTTTAAAATAATCGAATTAGTAAGCTTTTCAAGAGCCAGGTTACAGTACTGTTTGATATTTAATTTTCTCATATTTTGCTTCAAGAAAGTAACAGTATTAAGTGCTTAATAGTTCATGTTTTCATTCTTTTACATTTTAAATTCATATAGAGAGAAAAAATATTAAAAGAATAACCTAAAAATTAAACTAGCCAACAATTTTTATAAAAGCAGTCACTATCAGTTTCTTGGCTAGAATAAGCCCCTTTGTTTTTTCTTTGTTTTGGAGGGTTTTTTGTCTTTTTGAGACAGGATCTCACTGCAATTCAGGCTGGCTTTGAACTTGCAATGATCCTCCTGCCTCAGCCTCCCAAGTGCTGGGATTACAGGTGTGCACCACCACGCCCGGCACTAATACTAATATCTTTAAAAAATAGTGATCCACCCTAGACCTTGACTGATACTGATCTTTGATAGTGGACACAGCATTAGAACTTTTCCCTTTATATTTAACATCCTGGGTTGTATTTGCCTTGTATAAAATTTTCATTTGTCAAGACAAACGTTCTAGGTAGCACCAATATGTCTTCTGTGGCCTAATTTTAGAATTCATGAAAAGGATGAATTAATTTGGTTTTTGTATCATTCCCTACCCAGAGGATCTCAGAGCTACATTTCCCAATCAGTAACATTTGTTATCTGTCCTAGTCATTGAGTATTCCCATCAAAGTAATAGTATACCTGGAGAGAAGTCCAGTGTTTACTTACCTAACTCTTAAGCACAGTGAATACTCAGCAAAAAGATGCACTTTTAAAAAATTTTGTTTATTTATTTCTTTGTACTGGGGATTACACTCAGGGCCTTCACACTGAGCTACGTCTCCAGTCCTTTTTTTGAGACAGTCTTGCTAAATTGCTAAATTTCACAGAGTAGGCTCAAACTTTTGATCCACCTCTGTTTCCCAGAATCCTGGGATTATAGACATGTGCCACCACACCCAGATTAAATTCTGTATGGCAGTTTGGATTAGGGCCCATCCACACTCAACACACATTTTAAACCCTTTACTTGTTTCTAAGATTGCTGCTTAGCAAATAAAAATTAAATTTCCCCAATAGTTAGTTGCTCCCTTTCTCCTTTACTCTTTACAAATGTATGCTCTTGAGATTTGCTTTAATCTTTCATGTTCAGTCTTGTTTTTATTCATTCTTTGGGCTATCAAGAACCTAGGAATTGGGCTGGGGCTATAGCTCAATGATGGAATGGTTACCTAGCATGTGTAAGTTCCTGGGTTCAATCCCCAGTACTGGAGGGGGATGGAGGAAAAAAATTCTTAGGAATTATATGGATATTTTAAAATGAGCAGTAATAACAAATTTTTTTGTTTCAAGTAATTCTCAGCTGGGTCTATAACAAATAATGTTAACAGATACTTACTGTATGCAGCTATTATACAGAATGTTTAAAATATGACCTTGATGGAGCCCCAAAACCCTGAGAAGATAGGTGGCATTTTCACCAGTTTTCAGATATAGGTAAGACTCAGATTAATAAAGATCATAAAGCTGATAAAAGGCATACAGTGGATTCAATACTAAGTCTATCAGGCTCAAAAACCTATTTCAGCACTTCAGGTATTCCATTTTTACCCTTATACATTAGAGTCTTCTGGCTAATATACATTTTATTTGCATATGTCTGGGTTTAATATTTTAATGCCCCTTACTTCTGAGGAGATATAAATTTGAATGGCTAGATCCATTTACAAAACAAAATATAATAATAAAGTTGGTTCTCAGATTCCTGAGAGCTCGAAGAATGAAATAGAATATAAAATGTAGGGGCCGGGAATATAGCTCAGCAGCACAGGGCCTTGCTTGGCAAGCAAAAGGTCCTAAGTTCGATTTCTGGCACCAAAAAAAAGAAGAAGAAGATCAAATGTAAAGTTTGATGAGATATGAATTTTGATTATTTTTCATTTGTCACTGTATAATCTAACTTTAGCTAAAATATCTGCATAGAGAAAATAATTTTCAACCCTGCCTTATCACAGTCCCCTCAAAAATATTAAAAATTTTAGTCTAGTATGTCAATTTCTACTTGCTCTGTCAGATTTGAGCTATGTGACCCTACAAATTAGTTTTTAAAATTCTTTTCATTATAACATTTTGCTTTTTTGTACAAGAAATCCTCTTCAGACTATTCATATTTAAAAGATTTTTTTCCCCTAATTATTTTAATGAAGTTTCATTTTTATGGGTTCTTACTAGTTTAGAAAGGGTTAAAAATAGTTTAGTGGTTAATAACTCTGATTCTGGAGTCAGACAGACTTGTTTAGTGAAGGTTATAACTTGTAATGTCTGGAAAACACGGAAAAAATGACTTACCTCTGTGAGCCTGGTTTCCTTCTCTATAAAATCCCTGTGTGGGAAGAGGGAGAAGGGGAGTGGAAGGGACTGAAAAAATAATTAAGATGTGTTATGTACATGTACTAGCTCCCCACAAGGAATATAATCATTATGTACTGCAAATATGTACCAGAAAAATTTTTAAAATAATAAAATAAAATAGTGTGACCTACCTCATAAACTTGTTTAAAAAAGTTATGTGAACTTCTGATTAATGTCCTAAAACTGGTCAAATCTGTCATTTTGCAATCCAAAGCTGCATATGATCAGTTTTCAGCGTTTCATTGATTAGTTGACTTTTATGTTTTAAAGCATCAGCTTCTTTCATCCAAGACATAAGCTTCAGTGGCACCTTACATGGATAGTGAAAGTGGTCCTTTTCTGAAAACTTTTTTTAAAAAATTATATCATTAAGATTTTATTTAACTAAGAACTACCCTTAATTTTGTAGGAAAGTGATAGAATTTTAAATTGAAGCATCCTCTCAAGAAGTGGTATAAGAATGTAACTGATTTAAACATGCAGCCCTTTTTTTTTATCTTTTTGAGACAGGGTTTCACTATACAGTTCAGGCTGGCTTTGAACTCATTTTGTAGTCCAGGCTGGCCTCAAACTCACAGTGATCCTCCTGCCTCAGCCTCCCAAGTGCTGGGATTACAGGTATGTGCCACCACACCCGGCTTAAACATACAGCCTTAAACAAAAATAGTTCATATTTTTGATTGGGAAAAAAAGTATGTGGAGTCTAAAAAAAGTTATATGAAGCACTTTCTAGAGTTTCTTGTACAGTAGAGTTTAATTATTACATTGTTTATTTAGATTTTTTAAGTTTGTTCTGTATGAAACAATCATAAAATTTCAGAGTCAGAAGTGACTTTTTGTGATCTTTGATATATTGCCCTTATTTATCATATTAGGACATTAAAGCCCAGCAGAGGGTAAAATCTAGTTTGAGTTTTGGTAGAAAGTTAGTAATGGACCTCTTACTAAATTAAATCCAGCCGGGCGTGGTGGCACACGCCTGTAATCCCAGCACTCGGGAGACTGAAGCAGGAGGATCACTGTGAGTTTGAGGCCCGCCTGAGCTACAAAGTGAGTTCAAGACCAGCCTGAGCTCCATAGTGAAACCCTGTCTCAAAAAGGCAAAAAATAAAAAATAAAAAAATAAATTCAGTATCTTGGTTCAGGGGATCAGAATTGTACTGCTGTTAACGTTTTGTTCTCGTCTTACTTCTATTTAAACATTTTTTTTTTAGTCACATTGAAACTCTTTAAATTGTTTCCGTTTCTATTTCTACAATGATTTTAGTGTCATAAAAGGTTGATGTAAATACATTTTTTTCTTAGCCAGCTTCTTTCATCAAAAAAAAAAAAAAATCAGTCTATAATACTAGAGATGAAGCTCTCATGTTTGGCAATACAAGGTAAAAAGCCTTGTGATCTTTTATGGTTTCAAACCATCTTCTTCGTCTTCTGCTGACTTTCTATGACATGAGACATGCCTTCCCACAATCGTTATGCATGCCTCCTGTTTTGAGTGCTAGGTGAGTGAAGGACCTCTGGTCCAGCTATTGAGTCATAGTAGTTGCAATAAGGATAACAGTACTTTTCTCTCTGTTCTCTCTTTGTTGTAGAGCCGACAATTAGAATCAGAAACTGGGACCACAGAAGAGCACAGTCTAAATAAAGAGGCTCGGAAATGGGCCACGCGTGTGGCACGTGAGCACAAAAATATTGTTCATCAACAACGGGTAAGTGTAGCAGAGAGAGTACTGGCTAATTCAACTTAAATCAAATATCAAATCAATTTAAGGAAATGAATTTTATTCATGACTAAAATATCCTGTGTATGGAGTTTTTTTTTTCCTGTACTTTCTTAACACTCAACAGTAGGGTCAAAGCCAGTGGTGGTGAATCTATAGCATGTGTACCACAGCGGGCTGTTTGTATCATTGAATCTCTGAAAGGTTTGCCATCACTAGAGGCTGTCTACTTATCTCAAATTCCATAAACCTAGCAGCAACACATGAATTGATCGGTTTGCAGTATAATTGCCTAAGAAAGGCTGATAGTAGTGTGTTGTAGTCTTTTAGGTAAGGGAAGAGACATACAGATGTTTAATTAAAGTAGACTTTTATCAGACCAGACACAGTTTTTGAAGACACAATTCTGGATTCCATGAAAATGTGTTTTCAAGACTAATCTGTAAGTGTAAACAAATTATTTTAAGTATATACATGGTAGTATATTTTTCTCAATTTCATTTTTAATATCTATATCTTATTTTGCCTTCACATCTGACTTCTTAAAAGAATTGTCCTAACTTGGGGGTGTAGCTCAGTCATAAGCACTTGAGTAGCATGCATGAATTGTCCATATTTATTATCTGCATATCCTCACCTTCCACTTATTTTTCAGCCCATTACAGTTGAGATTTCTCTTCCTTTCTTTCCTCTTTAGACTAAACTCATCTAAAATAGACATTATGATTTCTCATTTTTCTTCACTGATCAGCAGTTCCATCATAATTAACACCTCCCATCATTTAAAAACATTCTGTTCTCTCTTTTTAATCATTTAAAAACCCATGACTCAGTGTTTTTCTGATTTTCCTCCTGCCTGTCTGACCATTCCTATATTCTTTCATGGGTTCGCTTTCTCCATTTTGCAATTAAAATATTCAAATTCCTTAGTTCTATAGGTGATACTTTTCTTATTCATTACTCTCCCTATGTTCAGTCTCAACAACTTCCATAGTTTTACTTACTGCCATATTATAAATTAATATTTCTGACAGTAGGCCTTGCTACCATGTGTCCATATTCTGTATCCTTTTCCTGCTTTGATAACTTATTTCACTATCTTGCAAGTATTTCAAATTCTGTGTTCTACTTATCTACTGCAGTATTTAAAAATACCTCAAATTTAACAGCATAAAAAATTGCTTTTTGGTTTGGTTTATGTTTTTTTTGTTTTTGTTTTTGTTTTTGTTTTTGAGATAGAGTCTTGATCTAACTCAGGCTCACCTTGAACTCACTATGTAGCCCAGGCTGGCCTCAAAGATGTGGCAGTCCTACTGCCTCAGCCTATTGAGTGCTGGGATTATAGGCATGTGCTACCATGCCACGCTCGAAAAAGTGGATTTTTAAATATCATCTCTCACTATTCTGGGTATTAGGTAGTCTCAGCTTGGCAGTTCTTACTTGGAATCTCTCACGTGGTATCAATCAGATGGTAGCTTTTGCTGGTGTCATCTCACAGGCTTCACTACTGAAGTAACTGATGCTTGAGTTGGGAAGATTTGAATAGTTTGGAACTGGAATAGGTGGGGCTTCTCATGCACCTTGTCACTCTGTTCTCTTCAGATGGTCTATCTAGCATAGCAGCTTCGTGTTGGCTATATGTCTTACATGGTAGCACAGAGCCCCAAAGGTGTGAGTCCCAAGAGTGAAAAAACAGAACTAGAATTATCCTTCTGATCTAGCCTCAGAAATATCACAGTGATACTTGCTTCGTGTTTTATTAATTCAAGCATTCACAAAGGTCTGTTAACAGTTTAGTGAGAAGGGCTGGTAATATGGCTCCAGGGTACAGCACTTGCCTAGTATTTGGGGAAGCCCTTGGATTTGATCCCTAGTACTGGAAGAAATAAGGGGGAGGAAAACAATTTAGTGTGAGAGAGCACACACTCTACTTTTGAATGGAAATAGCGAAGTTCTGGAAGAACCTGTAGAATGGGAAATATTATAGTAGCTGTTTAAAAAAAAATACTATCTCCCACAGTCTTCTTTTCAAACATAGCTATTCACATCTCACAGGCAGAATACACTCACCTCTTCACCCAAAAATCCCCCAAAGCCTGGTTTTTCTAAGAGCTCAGTAAACTTTAGGCAGGTAAAATATCAAAACTATCACACAGAAACACATCATAATCAGTTTGTTTTAAAAAACTGACCCAGCACTCTAGAAGCTGAGGCAGGAGAATCACCAGGAATTTGAGGCCAACCTGGGCTACATAGTGAGTTCAAGTCCAGCCTGAACTACATAGCAAGACCCTGTCTCAAAAAAAAGAAAAGAAAATTGATGATCTGTACTGAAAACATCTAAGATCAGGAGCAAGATAAAGATGCCCATTTTCATCATGTCTGATCTTAATAGTAGTTCTGGAAGTCTTAGCCAGAGGAGTTAGACAAGCAAAAGGTATAAACGGCATTTAAATGGTAAAGGAAGAAGCAAAATTGCCTGTTTACAGATGACATGATCTTACGTATAGAGAATTCTAAAGTTTCCACTAAAACAAAACTGTTACAGGATAAAAAGCAGAGTTGCAGGATAAAAAAATAAACACAGCAAAAATAGTTTTATTTCTATAACCAACAGTGAATAATCCAAAAAGGAAGTTAATTAATCCCCAATACCACAACAGGGAAACTAAGAAAAAAACTTAGCAATAGCACCAAAAAGAACATACTTAAAAATAGAATTAACCAAGAAGGTAGAAGATTTAGCCACTAAGAACTACAAAATGATGATGAAAAAAATTAGAGGATGTAAGTGGAAAGCTTTCTCATGTTCATGTAATGGTAGCTGTTGTTAGGGTGATATTGATACCCAGAATGACCTACAGATTTAGTGCAGTCCACATCGAAGTCCTAATCAGAAGACATTCAGTGTTCATGGAATGGAGTATATTATTAAATGACAGTACCACTCAAAATGATTTTCAAACTTAATTTTGCAGAAACAGAAAAGGCTGTCCTTTCAATTCATATGGTATCTTAAGGGACCCTAAATAACCAAAGTAGTCTTGAAAAAGAACAAGATCGGAAGAATGCTACTTTCTGGTTTCAAAGCTTATAAAACTATAAACTTCCAAATAGTATGATACAGTAAGTCCCTGACTTACAAACATTCGAGATGCGAGCTTTCATAGGTATACTGTATAAGATTCACAGGTGTACTGAATCAGGCTCACTTTGTCAGATTACAAATGAGTCTGACTTACAAGAGTCTATTCTTACAAGAATGTTTGTAAGTCAGGCACTTACTATGCTGGCGTTGTTCTATACATATACAGAACAATAAAGACCCATACAGATTCTATATACATATTTTTGGATATACTAATTTTTGAATCTCACTATTTTTAAAATACCAGTTATCTCCATATATTCAGTCCAATCTAGGTTAAACACCCAGCAGGATTTTTTGTAAAACCTGACAAGTTGCTTCTCAAAGATACAGGTGTCAGCCTGCTTGAGGGCCCAATGGAGATTTTTGCAGGTGAGGTCCCCAGGTTAAAGAACACATGCATGCAAGACATCAGCAGCAACAGCAGGCAGCAGAGAGCAGAGCAGAGCACAACAGCTGCCTGTATCTTTATTTATACATGTTGTTTCCATGTATTTACAGTCTTACATGCTGGCCTCACTGGTGCATGCATGGTTGTCTAATTCTAAGTCATGGTTATAACTGTGACCTGTTTTGTGCCTGCATGGACAACCGGGTTGTGCCCTCTAAGCTGTCTGGGAGCGTCCTTACATGCCCTGAGCTTTGAACACTTTGGAGCAGTATCCCACATACACCCCCTCAAAGGTCAGGGAGAGTTGCCTCTTAAAAGTGGCACATAGAGCTGACCCCTGTGCACAAAGACTGCAAAAATAAAGGGAACAGCAGAACTCTACCAACCCCATTGCCACCATAGCGCAGCTTATGGCTGTCCAGCACCAGGTGGATCCCAAGGATTCCCACCATTCAGTGAGGGGGTCCTGCTGCAGGGCCTAGATGGCGGACAACTCCGCATCCATTTCTTGCAAATCTTGTACCCCTGTCTGGTGATCAGGGATATAAAGGCAACATTCTGCCTGTAAGAAGGCACAAGTACCTCCTTGTACTGCAGTCAGCAAATCAAGAGCCATGCAGTTTTGCAAAAGCATCTTTGTCATTTGATAAGCCTCATCCATTAGCAACGTCAAAGCCTGACACATAACATTCAGGGTCTGGGCCATATATTGAGCTAGGACTTCAACTTGGAGGGCTAGCTCTGTGGTCCCTGCTCCTGACGTTATCAAGGCCATGGGCTAAAACCACCAGGCCACCTGTTTAGTACAGTGCCAGCTGTGATATACAGCATCCCAATTGTAGGGTGTGTCTGTAATGGTGGATCTGATAGTGCCCTTAACATATGGAAATCCCCAGGGACAGCTTCCTGTCCACTGTGCAGACAGGTACAGCCAACCCATGGTGCCACAAACCCATAATGCTTCCTCAGTGGGCCATTTGGTGGGCACCATACCTATGAGTTTAAGGTCATCCCACCACTTGTTTATGTCATTTACCTGTAATATCTGGTCAGATGGGCCAGGGGTATCTACTGCGCCATTCTGTTTCCCAGCAACACATTCACCTGTTGAATACAAAGCGAGATAACATCCAGCAATGTCCCTTGCAATCCCGTCAACCACCCCCAGCCATTCTACATAACAGGTCCCAGTCCTTGTGGGGTAGTCAAGCTCTTTCAGATTAGCACCTCAGTGGATTGGCATCGTTGATCCCAGGCAGAGTGGTCAGGTTTTGCTGCCACCAGTCAGTCCAACTGAGTAGGGACGTTAGCACGATTCTTTACGGGAGGACCTCAGCTGCTTCAGTTCAGAGTTTAGTGCATATCCAGCAATATAGTTATTGGTGCACATGAGCAAACATGTGTGCCCATGAGACAACACTGTTAGTATGGCTCATCCTGTTTGGAAGGACAGGGCAGAAAGAGAAACCATTATAGGGAAATCTTGCCCTTCTGGGAGGATACAGGCCACATGTTCATCCTGTGAGAGGATTGTGGCCGGAATCATATTCTGCCCCCAACCCCTTATAATATCAAACATGGGTTGCCATTGCTACTAGGGGTAAGGGAGTCACGGCTAAATCCACCATTCCCACAGGGACAGGTCAAGCAACCACAGTGTCACTCCCTTTCAGAATGGTGGCGCCAGCACTGAGTGGAGAGTGCACTGAGGCCTTCAGCAGCCAAGTTGAAGTCCAGGGCTGTATTTCTACAGCATGTTTAAGTCCTACCCTCCAGGGCTCCAAAAGGAACACCCAGTTGCCCACCAGGGACTCTGTAGGTCAATTCCAAATCCGCTGATAGCAGCCTCCAGCCGCATGGGCTCCAACCTGGGGAGAATTAAAGCCCCTTTCCCTACCTTAGGACCCTGCTCTGTGGGTTGGATATGCAGACAGACCAGCTATGCTTTCAGTGGGCTGAATCCAGTGGGCTATCACCCATAGGTACATCAGGGCTGATTATTGAGCATTTGAACCAGTTAAGGGAAACCCATACCCACCCAATGAACTTTGGAACCAAATAGGCAAGTTTGGTTTTTAGGGGCCCATTGTACCTCTCAATCATACCAGTTGGCAGAGGATTGATTAGTCAATACATTAGGGAAAGAAAAATACATAAGAGACTTAAATATTAGGAAAAGACACATCTATTGTCATAATAAATTGCAAATGCAATTGAAAAATTTATTTACCACACCACAATAAAATATTCATGGGTAAATGAGGAAAATCTCATGACCTATAAGAAGAAAGACTTTTTTTAGCCAAAGAATATAGTAGCAATGTGATTGTAGAGATGCAAAAAATGCAGATGTTATTCTAAATTTATGTGTAGTTTCAGTGGAACTTACTAGATATTTTTAAAGTAATTTGAGAATCTGATTCTAAAAATATTTCTGGAATTTTTTTAAAGTATACAAGAAGAAAAAAGTGTATACAAGAATAGCCAGGAACAATAGTGACTTGCCTTCAGCTGGAACCACCATCTTCCAGTACTTTGCCAAAATGACAAACACAAAGGGAAGGAGGAGAGGAACCCAGTATATGTGCTCTAGGCCTTTTAGAAAACATGGCATTGTTCCTTTGGCCATAGATATGGGAATCTACAGAAAGGGTAGTATTTCAGACATCAAGGGAATGGGTACTAGTCAAAAAGGAATGCCACATAAATGTTACCGTGGCAAAACTGAAGAGTCTACAGTGTTACCCAGCATGCTGTAAACAAGACAGTTAAGGGTAAGGTATTTGCGAACAGAATTAATGTATATATTGAGCATACCAAACACTCAAAAGAGTCAAGCTGCTAAAACTTGTTCCCTATGCATTCATAGTATAGCTGAATGTAGCGCTGACATTCAGCACACATTAGCAGCTAAGTGTTCTAGGCCCCACTTAAAAATAAATAAGCATCCTGAATTATAAGGCTGGTTTTCTTAATTGAACATGTGTGTGGTACCTATACCTCAGAGAAAATATTTAGAGCAGATTCTTATTGTACCTAGTTACTTGTATCAGGTCTTTACTCTTCAGTGTTTCTCTTGCTGAAAGATACGAGGTATTGTGCAGTATGTACCCAAATGAACAAATATTTATGAAATATTTTATTGATTTTACAGTCCTCTAAGTCACCATGGGAAAAGATGTATCAGAATAAATGGAAATCAATGTATGGCATTTCAATTGAATCAACTGTTGAAAGCACTTTTTTGGGGGGGTGTTTTTTTTTTTTGAGACAGGGTGTCACTTTGTAGTTCAAGTTTACCTTGAGCTCAGTGTGTAGCTCAGGCTGGTCTTGAACTCATGGCAATCCTCCTGCCTCAGTCTCCCAAGTGCTGGGATTACAGGCATGTTCCACCATGCCCAGCTAAAGCACTCTATTGTCGTTCTAGTTCTGAATTGCTTTGACCATTCATGAAACACTTGGGAAAAAAAAAATACTACAAAACATTTCTCTTTACTGTACTAAAATCCTACAGACCTCGGTAATGTATAAACACTTAAAACAACAGTGACTTATATGCCTTACCACAAACTGAATTATATGATAATGACCATAGAAATCAAACTGGTGATATAACACAGGAGTTACCAAACCTACAAAGAAAATGATCTGTGTTTTAATATAAGGACCTTATTAAGATACTAATCCAAACCAGCCAACTGTGAAAGGCTATTTAATGATGAGCTGCACATTAGAGACTATCGAGGAATTACTGTTGGGTCTGATACTGGTATTGTGGTTGTATAAAAATTTTGCATATTTAGAGACTTACATAAAAGCATGTAGGAATGAAGTTAATACCTGGAATTTGCTTTAAAATGTGGTAGCAAATAAAAAGGATAGATAAAGCAACTGTTGAAAAATCTTGACATAGTTTGAATCACAGAGATTGATATCTGGGAATTTGTTGCACTAGATTCTACTTTAAATATATGAATTTTCTCGTGATAACAGACATGTTGGGCTGATGATGGTGTGTCTCAGTGGTAAAGTGTGTACTTTGCAAGTGTGAAGTCCTGAGTTCAGTCCCCACTATTTAAAAAAAGGCATTTCAAATCTTTGGGGAAATGATCAAGTAAACAGTGTTAGAGTAATTGTGTTTGTGCTTAGGGAAAGAATTCATAAAATTAGATTTTTCTCTTCCACTGTATAGAAAATTTTTCAGAAGAATTAACAAGCTAAGTACTAAACATTATTACAAACTGACAATGTTTTTGGCATACCACAGACATGTTCTTAAATAAGACATAAAACTAGGAACTATAAAGAAAAGATGATAGATGTGGCCATATAAAAACTAAGAAGTTCAGCAGAGTGTGATGGTGCACACCTTTAATACCAGCTACTCAAGAAGCTGAGGCAGGAGGATCATAATTTAGAAGCAGAAGTCAAGATGGCCAGCGACACATAAAATGATGTTTTCTATGAATCAGAAACAAAATAATGAGAAAATAATATTTTTTGAGAACAATAATATTTTTAAGTATCATAAAATGTTATATTGGCATAATTTTAACAATTGGCAACATTTAGTGTAGGCAAAATATAGAATGCAACCTTTTAGGGATAATTTGGCAATGTCTATTAATGTTAAAATATACAATTTACAATTTCCACTTTTATGTTTTTATCTTAAACATTCTGATATATACTAAAAATCATTGATGAGGTTCTTTGTACAGTACTATTTATAATGTTGGGAAGTTTGAAAATTCAAATAGAAATAGAGAAAGAGTAAATAAAATATAGTATAGATAAACTCTTGCATCTATCAATTAATTGAAGAGAATGACCTCAGCCTAGTTATACAAAACATGAAAAGGGTTTCCTAAAATTTTCTATTTGTGCTTCTGTATGACCATAAAAATCATAAAAGTGATTTGGGAAAATACACATAAATTGAAGGGATGGTATTTCATTAGGCTAGAGAGCACATGATGTATTGTTCAATATAATGGAGACATTGTCATTTTTCATTGATTGTTTTGTAACAGTACTCTATAGTCATGTAATTTTTAAAAATTTAAAGTATGTATGCCCAGCATATCCATACTATATACCCTCCTCTCCTGTTAGTCACTTAGTGGCCATCTTGCTTAACAGATTGATTGTTATGGTATCATAGTGATTTTGTTGAAGTAACCCTTTTTTTTACTTAATAATGACCCCAAAGTACAAGAGTCGTGATGCGATACCAGGCATGGTGACACACGCCTATAGTCCCAGCACTCAGGAGGCTGAGGCAAGAGAATTGCCATAAATTCAAGGCCAGCCTGAACTATATAGTTAGTTCAGGGCTGCTTGAGCTGTACAGCAAGACCCTATATTAAAAAACAAAACAAAACAAAAAAGGGCAGTGATACAAAAGACAAAAAGCCATACAACATCTAAGGAGGATTAATTCTGGTACTCTGTGGCAGTACTTCAGGACATATAGGAAATCATAGTAAATATAAGGTAACGTCAGTTGGCTTCAGGAATCCACTGGGCATCTGGGAATGTGTCCTCTGAGGAGAAGAGGGGGACTACTGTACAATTATGTAAGTTGTTATCACTGGAGAAAGCTAGATGAAGGAACTCTATTAGTTTTACAACTTCCTGTGAGTCTATAATTATTTTTTTAATTTTTTAATTAAATGGATAAAAGAAACAAAGATTTTTAAAGGGATTATGGCTTTAGTCACTAAAGCCTTGAGAATTATCTAGATATTCTAGTTATATAAGAATGAAGATATGACAGAAAAACAGTCATCGTTGTTTTCATGTTTTCTTTGGTAGGTTCTAAATGATCTGGAATGTCATGGAGTTGCTGTATCAGAACAAAGCCGAGCAGAGCTGGAACAGAAAATAGAGGAAGCTAGAGAAAATATTCGTAAAGCAGAGGTAAGGTGGCAGCTATTTGTGACATTTTTCCTGGTTCCAATAACATTGTCATACCTGTGATGTGCGTTTTTGAAATTGAGTTTCAACCTGAAGTTGAAGCTGATTCAACATCTTCATGTGTGTCAACAGTAGTATCTACTGAGTACTTGCTTTGTAGAAAGTATATATGTAGACAACAAAGATTCTGAAACTGCTGTGAAGATTTATAATCAAGAAACATTAAATTAAATTAAAAGAATTAAATCATAATGAAGATACTAATTCTAAGTTTTTACAAAGTAAAATCAGTTAAATTTACTACAGAATATATATATATTTCTTCAAAAGTGTCCTTCATATGGATGAGTCTCTTGATCCAGGGACACAAATTGGACTTTTGAAAATAGGAAAGATTTGGTTAAGAAAAGGGGATAGCCAGGTGTGGTAGCACATGCCTATAGTCCCACTATTCTGGGAGAGTCAGGCAGGATGATCATAAGTTCAAGCCCAGCCTGGACAGCTTAGTAGTTATAGCAAGACCATGTCTCAAAATAAAAACTAAAAAAGGTCTGAGGATGTAGCTCATTGCAAAGGCCCAGAGTTCAGTCCCCAGTATCATAAAAAAATAAAGGGGAAAGGAAGGAAGGAGTGAAGGAAGGAAGGAAGGAAGAAGAAAGAAAGGAGAGAAGGGAAAAGAAAGAGGGTAGGCATTATAATAGGGAATTTTAATCTTTTTTGGAGCCATGGGACCCTGTGAAGGTTGTATGTAACCTGTAAAACCTTTCCCATCCCAAAGGAACATATTTTATGTACAATGTATACAGTTGTTTGAATGCCTAAGGCTAATACTTCCTGCCATAGAGGGAAAGAAGTTGAAATGAGAACCACAGAAGAAGGAAACCAAAGGAGGAAGACACATAGTATAGTTTGGGAGTGAATATGATTAGAGTAGAAGACTTTTTGTAAGGAAATATCTTATAAAGTAAGTAAACTAATAGTGATTAGGGATAGTTTGTGGAAGAGCTCTACACATTATCTACTTGGCTACAAAACAGTGAAGGAATATGGAAATAATAATAAAAACAGATTAACATTATCCATCCCTCAAGAGATGTTGTTCCTCTTTGGAAAGCATAAGCAATGTCAAAGATAACTAAGTCTGTAAAGCACAAGTGTCAGGGAGAGTCTGTGCAAGGACACTGAAGGAACTGGAGGACACAGAGCACAGGGAGGGGTTGTCAGGGCAGAGATAGGACTAAAAGATGGATATTGGCTAATGAGTGGTATTTGATCAGTCAGAACAAATAGAGGAGCTCAAATTTATGCTATGAAACCTGAAGAGGCAGAACTTGAAACAAAAGATCAAGGTAGGAAGAAGGCAAGTTTGATTTGGGTATTAGGAAATACTTTCAAACCCTTCAGAATAAGCACCCTTGGGACTCTGCAGCACTATAAATGCTGGAAATTCTGGGCGCAAGAACCTGTCTGCGACTCTGTATAAGGAATTCTTGCATTGGTGGAGCGTCAGTCTAAACTAATCATTTCCAAACACCCCTTCAGGTCTCTAGAGGTTTATAAAAAGTGCTTCAAGGGTTGTGGGGTGAGGAGAGACAACAGGCAAGCACAGGGAATATGTATTAGTGTGTTTTGGGCAAAGCCTCATAGGAGTGACCTGAATCAGAACGGGCTTGCCATCTCCCCTAATCCCACCTCCACTTTGTTCCTAACATAGCCTGAGCCACAGCTTTGATAGTGAGGAGAGTATAGAGCGTGGTGTGAACAGCCATTTTCCCCTCTGGATTCAGTGATGGCTGAACTACTGCCCCGGAGTGCTGGCCAAGTACTACTGACAGGCTTTCGCCTAGTTTGAGAAACATTGGCTTGTGGTAGAAGATGTTTTCTTGGCTTTTTTCTCCCCACTCTGGATAAAGCTAGTATCACAGCCTTAGTGGAACAGGAATGATTTTTGAGACAAGTTTCAGAAGTTTTCCAAAGGGTATGTCCTTGTATTTTCCATTTCCAGGTTCCATCCGTGACATCACAGTCTAGTACCTTAACTGCTCTGCTCCCCTACCACCACTGTTGTTAGTAGTAGCAGTAATAGCTATCATTCACATAGTCTTAATTTAGGCTAAATGACCTGTTATTACTATGAGTTTGCTAAACTGTGCTGTTTATTAATTTAAAACTATTAAATGTGATAGTAAGACATTTAAGTCTGCACTTTTAAAGATAGTTTTCTTACCAAAAATAAAGGACATACTGAAACTATGTCAATCCGTTATCTCAGTTTTGAATAGCTATTAAAATTTAATTAATCCTGTTATCTTAAAATAATCTGTCATGTAGTTTCCACCTATCAGATACAGAAATGAATAGCTCAGCTAAAATTAGCTGGCAAATGAAAGAGTATATTTATAGGACCATTGTAATGAGACTTTTGGATATGCTGTATCACAAGAATCTTCAGAGAGAAATTGGCAATAATTGTTTCCATCTATACCTTTTTACTTTTTTCTGCTTGTATATTATTTGAATTCTTTTTTGTTTTTCTATTTAATATTTACCTTAGTATGAATACCTATACAATAGAAAACTGGTTAAAATTGCCATTATATCCTTCATGTTTGCTTTTTAATTCCTTCAACCATGAATGATACCTTCCTTTGTTGATTAATCTGATTTACCCAATCTTGTCTGCATTATGCTTCCATTTAGTGCTGCCAATTAAAATAAAAGTCATTTTGTGGCCCTCCAGAATAGACTAGAGAAACTTTTAGTCAGAAGAAATAGAAAACATAAATGTCCATTTTTCCAAAGACTAGCGGGTATTTAGTTATCAGTTCATGGCTAGGGACTGGGGATATAGCTCATCAGCACAGCGCCTACCTGGCAAGCACAAGGTCAAGAGTTTGATTCCAGGTACCAAAAAAGAAAACACAATTCGTGGCTAGTTAATGCGAAGCAATTTCCCTAATTGATTAATTCCATAATTTAATGAGTACCTGCCATGTGCCAGAAACTGATGAAAATACTATATATATTGCAATGAGCAAACTTTTGTTAACATTGTTATGATCTCTGGGACTGCCATAAGAATATTTATACTAGCTGTGGTACTGTTTACAGCTTCTAGAATTGTCTCAAGAATTGAAATGAGGCAACAGTTGCTCAAATGAAACATTAATGATAATGCTAACTGGTATTTGGGTTTTTTGAAGTGCCTATTATCATACATAGATGTATTCATCATCTGATATATCTATTTGAAAAGTAGTAGCTTGTAATATTATAAGGTTTTTAAATGTAGTCCCTGTGTAACCACAATGAAAATGGCTATAGGATATATACATACACACAAAAGAAATTGAGAAAGAAATTAAAACATTTCATGAACAAAAATGAACAAAAAAGAGAACAATAATGCAGGAAATGTGGGACAAACATGCTATCAGGTATATATAAGACAAGTAACATGATAGAAGTTAAGTCCTTATCAGTAATTACCTTAAATATAAGTTAACCAATCAAATGTCAGAAATTAGCAGAATGGACAGAAAAATAAGATCCAAATACATGCTGTCAATAGGAGACTCTTTTAGATCCAAAGATACAAATACTTAGGTTGTAAATGAATAAATGGAAGAAAATATTCCAGGCCAATAACGGGGGGCAGTAAACCAGTCACAAAAACACAAATACAAAATGCAAATTAAGTATGATTCCACTTAATGAGGTACAGTGAAAACAGCAAATGGAACATGATTATCTGGGGCTGGGAAGGGAAAATGAGAAAATACTATTTAATGGATAGAGTTTCTGTTTTGCAGGATAGAAAGACCAGAAGATGGATGGTGGTAATGGTTGCACAGTAATATTAATATATTTCATGTCACTGAAGTATATACTTAAAAAGGTTAATATGGTAAACTTGACATCATGTGCCCTTTACTACAATTTCAAAAAACTGTGTGTATTTTT